TGTGATGTCTAGCCCTGAGTTGCAATTTTGCATGTAAATTAGTTCAATATTTCTGATTTCATGATTGTGTAGATTCTGTCATTAAATGTGTTTGAAAAACACACTGACTGAGGCAGAAAGAAAGTTTTGTTTGTTTGTTTTTGTTTTAGAGGAACTTCAGCTTAAGATGGAACAGCAACAGAAGATTCTTAAAGACAGAGAGATTGCTGCATTTAAAAAGAAGAAAAATAACTCGGTGTGGACTTTACAGAAATCAGAGGTAGCTAATCTATTCCAAATCTGTGTGGACACTGAAAAGAAAGGTGTCTTTATTCACCCCGTGTCATCTTTGTAAAGCGTTTGGAAGAAGAGTATTCCGTCCTCCCTCCCCTGTTTTTTTTTTAAATTTGTTTTTTTTTGTTGTAGCAAAAACTGAGACAAGTCAAGAAGCTCTTTAACTGGTTTTGAATGAACGAAAGGAGAGGGCTGTAATGTCTTTGTTTTTTCTATGACTTGTCAAAGGTAGTAATTCAGATAGCTGGAAATTCAACGAGTTTGGTTGTCTGGTAGGCTTGAAGGTGATTCTGATGAGCTCTGTTATAAATGTTGCACGGTTTGTTTGTTTATTTCTTTTCCCATCTGACAAATATGACAGACGGCTATGGTTTTGGTTGTTCATGACAGTGTTAGAATAGTAGGTTTCCTGTGCAACAGTGCTACCTGCATGATTTCAGAACTAGACATTGGAACATGAGAGTTTCATGAGTTAACCAAAGTCTTTAGAGGTGAAAATCAATTTAAAAAACGAAATAAAAGCAACTTCTTAGCCATACCAGCAATATGCCCACTGATAAACCATTGCTTCAGAAGAGACTTATAATAGACTCTGCTAGCAGGATCAGAACTCCCATTTTTTCTTTCTTTCAGCATCAGAGTTTCTCATCACGATGTGTTTTTCCACAAATCTTGGTCTTGGGCAAGAATCATGCAATGAGGATGGGCTAGCTGATTTCTTGTGGTACCTTTCAAACTTAGTTGTTGTCATTCTATATATGACATCTATTTCTATAACTGTTTTTAGGAAAATAATACATTTCCTTAAAAGCATCTGATAAAATTGTTTGCATAAGATGTAGTAATATAACATTGCTGAGCCTCTCCTTAAGTCAGTCCTATTTCTGTATTATCCTGAATCAGGATTCTGTTGAACACTTAATGTTAAGAATTGAAATGTTGATTTCTCACGTTTTATCAGTTACTCTAAAAGAGGAAAAACATAGTCATAAAATTCTGACCCAAATAGTCCTCGTTAATGCTCTCTGGATCTCTGTTTAAATTGTAGAAGTTAGAAGAGCAAAAGAAATGGCTGGATGAAGAAATGGAAAGAATTCTTCAACAGCACCAACAGTTAGCGGAACTAGAAGAAGATTTAAAGAAAAGAGAAGCCATTGTAGCTAAAAAAGAAGCATTATTGCAAGAGAAGAGCCTCCTAGAAATCAAGAAACTGAGATCTAGCCAGGTGATTTAAGAAAAAAAAAAAAGAAAGAAAGAAAGAAATTTAACACAATTGTAGAGCTGCCTGAAAAGACTATGGGAGGAGGGCAGCCGGATAACAGAAGAGGTTTAAGCCATGCGACTTGTATCTCTAGCGCTGCCATTACATTATTGTGTGGCTTGATCAAATGAACATTTTAAACATGAATAATAGAATGTAATAACCTTTATTTACATGATATCCCCGAAATTCTAACAACAAAACAAAATCTGACTTCCAAAGTTCTGTTATTGCAGCACATTAAATAACGATATCTAAAAAATTGCTCAATGCCTGCAAAGTAGAGAACATGGCAGAGAAACATTCTGTATTATTTACTTTGGCTACTGAGAAACAGAAATTGAAATGTCATTGTCACCGTAATGACTAACTCATGTAAGATATGTAGAAAACTGCACATTGCTTTTCTTTGTTTTCTTTCATCTTTTGATTAAATAGTAAATTTTATGGTAGCTGTCTACTTAGCCTAAATGGCGTCCCTTTACAAGAAGTAGACAGGTCTTCCACTTTAGGATGCGACAGTCTCATGTACATGTTTATGGGGAAGGAGTTTTATATTACGGTTTCTTTCATTCTTCCTCTTATTTCTTTCTCTCTCTCTCTCTCTTTTTTTTTTTTTTTTTTTTAAAGGCTTTAAACAAAGATAGTATGAAATTGTCTACTCGCTTAAGTATGCTGGACCAGGAATTGTGTGATAAAGGTATGCAGCTTCAGGACAGCACTACTGAAGATAAGACAGACATTCTGGAAAAAATTCAGGTTCTTCAGAAGGAAAGGGATCAGCTACTCAGAAGAAGAAATAGTGTGGATGAGAAACTGAAAGAGGGTAACTGAAAAGTGTTGTCAGCTGAAGTAAGTAACTATCTCTGAGATACATCAAAGTTTTAGGCAATGTTGTATAATAAAGTATTCCAATCATGACCTAAAATGTCTCCCAGTATTAGACAGTAGAGAATCAAGGAACTGAGGTTGGGTGTTTTTGTTAACAGCCGACATGAAAGTACTGCTATAATGGCACTACTTCCATAACAGTGAACAACATATACTTTCAGAGGAACTTACTTACTTTAGCTAGAGTCCGGACAAATGTCGCTGGCCTAACAATTCTATAATTAGAAATAATGAAACAGGATGTCCATCAATTTATCTTAGGCAGCTATTTTCCTATCAGGACATAGAACAAGGTGAAGTACTCTAATAGTGATGTCCCTTGATTTTTTTTTTCATAGGCTTTTGTGAAAGACCAAACCTCACCTGAAGGCCTCCATATAGTTACAATGAAAATAAGCCATATTGTGGATGTTACACACTTGAATTGATCAGTATAATTAAGTTGAAGATTGAATAAATTGATGTAAAATACACAGATTTGTTTTAGGTCTTGAGAAGCAGCAGTTGGGGCCTATTACTGAGCTGATAGCATGCCAGAAAGAATCCTATTTGCTTCACTCCACAGAATCTTCTGCAATACTTCAGGGCATGAATTTCTGCCACCTTCCTGCACAGATAATGGTCACCAAACTGCTTACAGATCTGATTGGTTCATTAATCGCTAATTAGAAAACTAGTTCAACTGAAAAAGTAATAGAAGTCATCAAATTGTGGGGGAGGGGAAAATGGAGGAAGAATAGAATGTAGGCTTTTGTGGTGATGAACCATTTGTTTGAACTCTGGTCTGTGGAAGGGATATCAAGACATTTCCTGCTTGCTCCAAGCAGGTTCTAGATTTGTACTCTTCCTCTTATTTTTCCCATTCCATTCTCTGTACTACTACTAGTTAGTCTTGCTCTTCAATTTAGATTCACCTTTGAGAATGAAGTTAATGTCTTATGCACACAAAGGTTTGTTTTGTACTTTTTTTACAATCTCACTCCTGTGTTTCTGTGTAGGAAGAACATGTCCTTTTGCAGGCTGGAAGAAGGAATTGAAGCCCTGGAGGCTGCTATTAATTACAAGAATGAAAGTATTCAGAGTCGCCAGTACTTGCTAGATCCTCTTCACAGATCCTTTCACAGAGTGAGGATAATGCAATAGGAAACTAGTTTCCTTGTCTGCTGATGAGCTCAGAGCTATCCTCTTCAAATACTTTAACAAGGTTTGCTTTGGCTAATGATCAATATTTTATCCTATTACCTGTTATTGCACTAAATAGTTAAATGAAATAGTGTCAAGAAGTAAAGTCAATTTAATCCACTTTCCTTGAAAGCCTGCTTAGGTTACTCACATCTGTTGTTAATTTGGATATTTTGCATCTTGACATCAACATAAAAAAGGATGCTTTTCTATTACTTGTTTGTATCTTGTTTTGGTGTCATTAGCTTAAAAGGTGTTGCAACTCTGGAAATTTCCTTGCTCCTTTCCACTGCTTTATGCTGCTAACTTCTCAAGTAGCAACATATTTAAACAGTGGTGTCGTATCGAAATTCTTCCCACCTGCAGTCTTTATTAACCTCAGGATAGTATTTCTTTTTTCCAAATCCATTATAAAATCTTTCTGCAAACAAGCGCTTACCACCATATACTGAAGAATCGTAATGACACCTGGAAACATAAAAAAGAAATGCATTAGGACTTGGTGTCTCTCTTTGCCCATGGGTGAACCTTGGGTGATTTTGTGAACAAGTTGTCTGTGGTACACAAATTGGCAGTTTTCCAGAAACAGGAAAAAACTCTGTATCAGTTTAAGTTCTGCACAGGGCATTAAAAAATCCACTAGTCCATGTGATCAAAATCTACAGAGCTCAATTCTGAAGTGTGAACTCGTGTCAGCAGGCAAATCTGTTTCCAGTATAAGCTTACAGCTTATACAGACAATTGCTTTTGTATCCATTCATCTATTAAGCAGAACTGTAAAAGCATTTGTTGAAATGGTTTGATAGAAGTGTATTAGATTGTCTTAGATTGTTGGCCTGCGAGAGTCTGAACGTAAATTACAACTGCAGACTGAAGAACAGGAGATGAAGGTCATAGACCAGGAAAATATAATACGTGAATTGGAATCTGCACTTGAGCACATCAAGTTGCAGTGTGACAGGCAGCTGACGCTACAACACAGAGAACATGAGAAAAAACTACAGTTGATACTGCATCATTTCAAGGGTGCTTGTTTGTTTTCCAAGGGGAATTGTACAGCAGATATTATCTTTAGTCACTGTTGAGAAATACTGTGTTTTATATGAAAGAAAAAAGAAGATATGAGGTAGAAAGATAACATTTTGGCTGTTACTAATTCTGATGTCGTGTAGGATGCTGATGAACAGACACAAGGTGCTTGTATAAAAGAAAAAAGCTGACCATTTTTAAAAAACGGTCAGAATTGTCACATTTTTATATTCAATTTGTTGACATTGGAAAGGTGAAAGATAGCAATCCCCTTGATCTTTATCCTCTAAATGCTCCTATTAAAATGGAGAATTGGGGTTGGCATGGGCTTTTTGATCCTCTGTCATACTAGTTTAAATGTACACCCTGAAAGCAGAGTGTCAGCAAAATACAGGACATTCTCTAGCTGGGCATCTTGATTTTGGCACAGAGAAGTGAAGTGAAGATTTGATTCTCATACTAGTTTTACTTGCCCTAGAACAAGATGGTGAAGGTATTGCAGAAACCTTGAAAGAGTATGAAGTAAAGTCCAGCAACTGGAAAAAGACTTCTTTTATTCTAGAGAAAACCAGCAGAGAGCTGAAGAAGAAATTGAAGAGCTTTTTTGGAGAGTCACCCCATCAACTAATGGCACCTACTAAATGTAAGTACATGATCTTAAAATGCTTTTGTGTTTGTCAGTAGATCATTTGAGGGGTAGCAAACAGAGAGAAGTATATCAGATAGACATAAAACTCATATTTTACTGAACTAACTCTTATCCAGGAACGTACTACCACACTTGCAAAGGAGAGACAACATCAGTTTGTAATAGAAGCAGTGGTATAAACACTGTTCTAAATCGTGTTTGGTTTTCTGTGGATTCGAGCATAATTTCAGAAGCTACAGTCTCACACTGTTGTGGTTGAGAAAACGGTATTTTATGATCTGAAAGACTCTGAATGGCATTATAATTAACAAATGTGTAATATGCTATGCTTTTAGATGCCAGTATTTTAAACAATCAACTTGATTTTGCTGCCAGCACTTGATTTCATAGAAGTTATTTCTTGGAAGATTGTCAATGAGGAGGTCCATACTTCCAGTTAACTAAAATCATTCTTTATTAAGGTTAAAAGACCTAGATATTTGTAGTAAGAAGATAAGCTTCCTAATGTGATCTATGCTTTGACCAAAAAAAAAAAAAAAAAAAAAAAAGGACCAACAAACAACTATGAAAAGTTTTTTTGATTGTTCCAGGTCCTACTAACCACAACTCAAACTTAAAATGAAGTAGTTCTAGTGTAGAAGCAAAAATGGTTTAATCATTGTCATTATCTTGGTTGTCTTACACCTCACACTGCCACCACCACCACTTCACACGCACAGTGCAGCCTTCTTGGCCCCGTGTTTCGTCTTAAGGCTCAGCGTGACTCATTCTTCCTCTTAACTGATGGTTCTATTTCGTCACACTTGAGGTAGTGCCATGTCTTTGTAACACGTAGATGCTGGTCACATATGCATCTGTTGCTACCAGAGTGAATTGAGGTTTAGCTCTCCAGGCAGGATAATAAGCCTAGAGGTTCATTACTCGAAAGTATGCTGTGGCGGTGTGAACATGAATATTGCACAGGTTGGACTGTAAATGAGCATGGGGAAGATTATTCTGTGTCTAATACACAAAGAAGCATGTAGTCCAGGACATGTTTTGCTGTGAGGAAACATCCATCGCAGCCAAACTGTAGCGAAATGTAGAAGGGTGAATGTCCCTGTGAATTTCTAACTTTTTCAAATCCATATGTTTGTAACGTTTGTAAGAAGCGCTCAGTATTTTTGTATAATTACCTTTAGTTATCTTTCCTCTGAATATATTTTGGGGCATAATACAATGTAATAAAAAAGTGATGAGCTTTAAAAATAACAAAAATCCCTGTGTACATTAAAGTCACATTCAAAGACTATGTTTTGTGTGTTCTGCTAATGAAATTGCAGACTACTTTTGAAAATACGAAGAATTTCATATTTTACTGTCATGGTTCAGTTGTTTTAAGATTGCCTAAATTGCAAGTTAGAATGGTGAAGCTTGTATTACAAGCAAAGAGCCAGCGGAAAGTAAAAGACACAGTCTTTTACTTCCTCGTCTTTCGGGTCCTTAACATACAATGGTGCTAGCTCAGACCTAGGAATCACCAGTCTTTATCTTGTTCCCTGTCTCAAGTCCCCCCTTTTCTTGAGCCTAAGCAAATTCTTTGGCTTATTACAATCCTTCTTGATTAAAAGTTTTCATTAAATTCTTACCAGTTTTGACTTGGTGCTTGTTTCAGTTACACTTCCAGGTATCATAATCTAGTCCTTCATACAGCACCAAAATGCACATTGTACCACTACACAAGTCAAGACTACTACTCTTAAAAAGAAGATCAGGATTCCTCTAAACGATTGCTTAAGCCAAGAAAAGTTGGGTAACCAAAAGGTTATTTTGTTGCATAATTCTCGAAAACCCCAGGAGGTGTCATCTTGAATTACCTTACGTAATCACCTTAGACTAATCACCTTATTACCGTAGTCTTTCCCCAAATGTTTTCGTGCTCAGTCTCAATTCCTCCTGCCTCATTTACACACATACAGCAACTAATATTGATTAAAGTGCATCCTTCCCCTTGGGAGGCAAATAAAAGGTCTAGTGCCTAAAACATTGATTTGTTCTAGTTGCTTGCACCAAACTGTAAGATGTTGTTGCAAATATTGGTTTCCTAAATGGGTTAGATCTTCTCCTTTGTCCGGCATTTGGTAAGGCCTGCCATACAATATCTCCAAAGGGGCTTAGTTTGACCAAGTTTGCTCCTGGGGGATGGATGGAGCCCGTGGTAGGGAGCCAGTGTGGGAGCAGTGCTTGAGGAGCTGCTGCCTTTGGCAGCCCCTGCAGGCTCACTTCGGGAATCCCGTGTGAGGGATGAAGTTCTGTGTTTTTTGTTTTGTTTTTCTTTTGTTTTGTTTTGTTTTGTTTTTCTGAAGAAACCGGGTGTTTAAGAAGGAAATGCAGAGTTGCCTTTGTTTGGCACTCGATGGTCTTGAGGTCTCTTCCAACGTAGACATTCTGTGATTCTGTGAAGTCACAAACGCCAAGGCATCACACTGGCTGGCTCTGCAGCACAGATGCCAGGAGTGCCGCTTGGCATGGCGGCGGCGGCGCGGTGCCCCAGCCCCAGGCCCGTCCCAGCCCCAGCGCACGTCGCCCTCCGCTCCCCCATGGAGCCCCCCGCCGCCTCAGCAGCCCCGCGGCGGACGCCCCATGGCAGAGCCGCCCCCGAGGAGAAGGAGCCCGCAGCCCTCTGCCCGCACCGCACCGCACTGCACCAAGCGCCGCGCAACGGCTGCCACCACCGCGGGGGCTCCTGGTGTGAGCGGCAAGCGGTGGCAAGGGGGGGCTGCGCTTCCTGAGTCGAGCTGCTGGACACCGGCTTGCCTGGGCAATTGCCCATGTTGCTGAGGAGGCAACAGAGCCAAAGCCCTTGGGGCTGAAGATCCAGCACAGCTGGGGAGGCTTTGGCATTTCTGCACAATGCTGCTCAATCCTGCTTGGGAGCCCAGCCTCAGGTGCGGAATGAAGCCAAGCAAGCTCGAGGGAAACTGTGTGCTGGTAAGTTGTCAGTTCTTGCTTTCTTTTTCATTCCTCACGCCTAAGAAAACCTAACTCTTTCAAGCACCTGTTTGAAGACACGGTTTGATGGACTTGATTCTGGGTGTGCTCCTTAAGCTTGTTTGGCAGCTGTTGAACCCCGCTACACTTGCAGGAGACCTATGCTCGAGTTGATGCTTGCTGTGATCAAGCGGTGTTCTTTTGCTCTTCTTTGCTTTGGGGATGGCGGGTGAGGTTGCAAAGAGTTTTCAGGAGGAATTCTTCTTTTCCTTTGCAGAATCCCAGACTGCGTATTAGAGCTGATCTTCATCTCTGCTCGGAAAAGCTTCATGGGCCAAAAGAGAATGGAGATGAGGAAGGCAATGGAGAATGATGAGGACTATTTGCAGTCAGCACCCGTAAGCTTTGTGAAAGAATCAGGTGCATTTCTGTAGTGGTAGAAAGCGTAGCTGGAAAGACTTCCTAAGGACGTCAAGTCCAATTCATTGTTCTCAGTTAGAGCAATCCCGTAGTTTAGACTCCTGATAAGGTATTTGTCTGTAGGCAGCTGCCAACTTGTCCAGCTAATCCAATTCAGCCTGGAAAACAAGCAAGCAAGCAAGCAATCAAAAAGCACAGAAACCTGCAGTTTATGGAGTGCAACTGTCTCCTTTCTAATCTCATGGGTTTCACCAAGTTTTGGGTGACTCCAGGGCTGGCTTGCCAGGGAGACTTTCTTGAATTGCTGGCAGATCAGCCAGAAGGGCAATACAAGGCCCTGGCTAAACACAATCTGTAGGCTGCTTCTAGATCAACAGTTTCCTTGGTTACTCCACAACCTCCACAATCTCCACTTGCTTCGAAGCTGTGAAGATTGCAAGTCCACTTTGTGTTTTTCAGCCACTCTGTGTCAAACGGTAAGAGTTTTCACTGGCTGTTAAAACAGAAAGGACAAAGAGCCCCTCCTCTGGGTCTTCAGAAGGCTCCTAAGATCCCCCAGACTGGCTAAGTAGCGACGCTCTAGTATAGATGCATCTAGATGCAGTAGAGCTAGATGGTGGGAGAGAGGCTCTAGCATGGACGTGACACGCTTTGACAGCATCTTTTCTCTGACAGCAACTTCTGCCTTGGCTCTTCCCATCAAGCCAGAGCAGTTTCTTGGCCTGCGCAACCTGCAGACTGACCTCTCGTGTGTATCCGTGCTGGACTGAGGGTAATGTTTGGAACACACACTGATGCTGTATTCACTAGAACTTTGAGAAGAGAGCGCAAGAAGCTAACCTGCATACGAGTTTCTTAGGTTTCTGTAGAGAGAGAGAGATGTACATGCATACATATTTACTTCTGTCTTTACTTCTTTCAAGATATCTTTTGTTCTCCAAAATGAATCCTCTGACTGTTACTAACGTATGGGACACACCTTGACACTCTAATGGCATAGAAATACTTTTCAGCTCATCCTTGCTATTGTTTCTGGATTGAAAAAATAATTGTGAATATGATTACCTGCTTGGAATCTTTTTTTTTTTTTTTTTTTTTTTTTTTAGTATATATCTATTCTATTATGAAATCCTATAAAAAGGAGTGAACTCAAGAGGAAAAAAAAAAAAAGAAAACAATTTTATATCCACTTCTAAATTAGCTCAACAAATGAAACAGTAAAAAATGCACATAATATTTCTTCTATCCCAAGATTTCATGGTACAATAGTTCTTTGCCTAACCCTGCAATAGCCCCATAGGCATTGCAATTGCTTACTTGTGTTCTTCTCCTTTGCTTGTGTTTAGTGTTTGCTTTTCTAATGTTACAACATTGGATTGATTTACCTCTTTAGGTATCAAGAGAAGAAGGCATTTGCTTCAGAGGACAGTACTTTGATGCTTTCCAGGGCTAATGGCCAAAGTTCTCAAAGCACTTTTTTTTCTTTTTTTTTTTTTTTCCCCATCAGTGATTTATACATTATCTTTCCATCTTCATTTACAACTCCGAATTTAGGTTTTAGGTGAACAAGAACCCTGAAACCAGCTGAAGCCATATCAGACATGAAGCCATATCAGACATAGTAAGGACATGTGTCTGTGAGGAAGTAATTCAGAGTGATTCTGTGGTGTCCTTTGGACAGCTTTCCTCTGGTCCTCTGCACTAAGCATCCCCAAGGGATATTTCAAAGCTCTCGGAATGATCTGTCATTCTCTCTTCCACTGGAGTCTCCATTAGAAAAGCGTGACTATTCCTTGCCCATGTGGAAAAGAAGTCCTCCTTGCATTGTTTCTAAGCAAAACCTCTTTCTTGTGTTCTATGGACAGAAACCACTTGGCTAGACAAACTCAGTCATTGCAAATGGAAGGAGTGGAACTACTTCAGCACCGTGCTTCGGCTTCTAAGCAGAACTGTAATGTAGGTGGGGACGTAGCAAGAGGACATGGCCAAGCCAGGGTGGACTTGAAAGTGCCGTGTCCGAGCCACAGCAAGAAGTCCGTGATTGCCCCTTGGAGACTGCTGCTCACCTAGTAGCACAGCAGCTGGAACGCTTCTGGATACTGCTGATGGATTGCCATGAATCAGGCAGTGACACAAGCTACGAGAACGACGGAAGTGACTGGAAGTGATGCTTCTCCCTGTTCTCCATTGCAATTTGTGAAAGAAAGGAGAAGAGAGGAGAAGAAGAAAGGAGAAGACGGGAGGGAAGGGGAGGGAATGAACAGAACGGGAGGGAGGGGAGGGAAGGGTAAAAACGAGAATGGGAGGGGAGGGAAGGGCAGGGGAGGGCAGGGGAGTTCTGGGGAGGGCAGGGGAGGGCACGGGAGGGCAGGGGAGGGCAGGGGAGCAGAGTGTAGTGGAGTGTAGGGTAGTGTATGGTAGTGTAGGGTAGTGTAGGGGAGGGGATTGTTTGGTGAGGAGAGTGTAGGGGAGCGTAGGGGAGGAGAGTATAGGGGAGTGTAGGAGAGGAGAGTGGAGTGGAGTGTAGGGAAGGGGAGTGTAGGGGAACTGAGTGAAGGGGAAGGTAGGGGAGGTGTGTGTAGGGGAGTGTAGGGGAACTGAGTGAAGAAGAGGGTAGGGGAGCAGAATGTAGGGGAGGGTAGGGGAGCAGAGTGTAGGAGAGTGTAGGGGAACTGAGTGAAGAAGAGGGTAGGGGAGCAGAGTGTAGGGGAGTGTAGGGGAACTGGGTGAAGAAGAGGGTAGGGGAGCAGAGTGTAGAGGAGTGTAGGGGAGCAGTGTGTAGGGGAGGTGTGTGTAGGGGAGTGTAGGTGAGGAGAGTGTAGGGGAGTGTGTGTGGGGGGAATGTACGGGAGTATAGGGGAGGAGAGAGTCGGGGAAGGAAGTGGAGGGGAGGAGAGGGAAGGGGAAGGAGGGAATATTGCCTTATTTGTTACCTTTTTACTGTCTTCGTGTAGAGCCGTGACAGGCAAAATAAACTATGTTGGTGAAAAGGACGTCTTTGTCTGGTGTGATTCCCGTTCCCCCAGTTTAAATTAATCAAGAATAATCTGCTCCTGATTGAGGTCTTCCCTTACTAGTGCAGTGCTAGGACCTACGTGCTCAATGTGCTGAGGATGTGCAAGAGTCTTAGAAAACAGTCAAGTTTTCCTCCCTCCTTGCTTCTTTATGAAATAAACATGATATCATACAGCACCGGGCTGTTTTTCACGACGGAAATTCACTTCTACCCTGCACAACAAAGCTTATGATATATCCAGACCAGAGCTAAGCCGTCAGCTTGGGCAGCCACTGTCAGGCGTTCGCTTCTGTCCAGTCGCCCCTTGGGGAAGCCACTTGCACTGGTTGCTTTCCTCACAAGTTTACCAGGTTTGCGTAAAGCTCCAAAGCTCAGGCCTATGCAGACACAGACCTGCTGCTCCTTTAACACACAAGAGGGGGCTATTGTTCACAACAGCTTTTCCAGTGCTTCTCTCCGTTTTTTGTTGGAAATCCAGTCCTTGCTTGCAGATTGGCTTTTTCAATTCAGTGATTAGTGGGTACTGGAAGGTTCAAAAACAACACCTGACAATCTTGTCCATACGTAGGTAAGGAGAGATCTAAGGAAGGAACAGGTTGCAATACCTAAGGCTTATGCATCGCTCAAGCTTCCAGTTGAGCTGTGAAATCCACGCCTCAGGTCACTTGAGGTACCAGGAGTCCCTGTAGAACATACAGAGGTCTCCAGCAGTGAGGTTCCCTGAGCAGAGGGCTTCAAGAGCTCCACAGGGAATGAAAAGAAGACTTGTGATATCCATGAGGAATGTGGCTTGCTCTCGGCAATAGAGACAAATTCCTTTCTGATTAATGCTCCACCCTGCTCCACTCCAGGGACGGATGCCTATGGCAACCTGGTCCCAGTACGTAGTACTAGGATGAGGTGGCAGGGACTGTCCCCATTCATTTTCTTTCTTCAGGGTGGCCATGCCTCCTCTCTGGCTGAAGGTGGGCTTCATGGACCGTGTGAAGGGGAGAGGTCTGGGGAAGGACTGAAAAACTTGAGAAATACTCTGAGGATAAATCAAAAGTTGGTTGCACTGAAGTAGATAGGAAGTGCAAATGATAGCCTGGGTAGATTTGCTGCAAAGAATCTGAAGAATCTGGGTCTGCTTGCCAGAGCACTCATCCCAGTGGCTCATGATTTCTTTTGCACAGTTTTGGTTTTTTGTTCCCCAAGTCAGGACGGAATTTTGGTAATGCTCTTACACTTACCTCATGAAAGAAAGACATGTTCTTTACTAGGTATGATTTTACCTGCTTAGATTTAGGGTACTTAGGCTATGCTATACAACTCTTCTTCACAAGAATAGTCTTCTCTATACAACTCTGTATAGTTGGTCTAATGAAATGAAAGGAACAGTGTCAATTTACAGGAACAGTGTCAATTCCAGCATTTGAAGCAGTGCTGTGGCTTCATAATTAATAGACAGCTTTTAGAAGAACAGACAAAAATGATTCTATCTATCTTTATTTCCTGTGTAGATTTACTTATGTGGTTCTTTCCCATTCATACTAATCCAGCTATTCACATACAGACCGGAGTTATGCACTAAAAAATTATGTCACTCTGTCACTTTCTGTCATGATGTAATTATTGCTTACAAGCAGCAGTCAATTGAACAAAGCCTTTCACATGACTGGCTGTCTAACAACTATGCTGCTGTTGTATTTCCCAGGTGAACCACTTCAGAATTTCATAAAAGTGAAGAAGGATGCCTATATGGTATGCTATCTGGCTACCCAGGTGTAGTCTGTTGGTTCCAAAACTGCCTGTCTTCACCTTGGGCAAAAGAACACAAGGTACTCAATATTGAAAAGATACCAGATAAGCATTAGTATCTTGAGTGTCGTAAGTACTCCAAGCCCGAAGGGAATTGCCACATTTCCTCTTGGCCAGCACAGCTGTGGTGTTTTTAATATCTTGGAAAACAAAATGATCAGGTATGCTGTGAATCAGCTGGCAATTTGCTTTGTGGCTTTTCTCATGAATTCTGCATGCTTCCTTTCTTTGGAGATACTTGACTTGTACATCCAGGTCTTTCTTCTTTAAGAAAGTAGAAGCATCTCAAAAAGCAAAAAGTTACCAAGGTGTTTGAAAACAGGAGTCCAAATCTAACAGATGTAGGGATTTATAACAGAGGAAGTGGAGGCAAAGATCAGCCATGAAATAGATCTGAGAAAAACACAGGTAGCAGTGTCACATGCGGATAAAGGAAAAGAGATAACCAAATGTCTTTCTTGAAGTGGAAAAATAATGGGGAAAACAAGACTCATGGGAAAAGCAAGCATCTTAGCTGGGATTGACAATAAGTAAAAAGCTACTACGCAGAAGTCTGTAGCTGTTGTAAAGTTGCCATGCCATTTTGCAGAGCACAACGCAAACACATCAACGTGCATTCTGGGCTTAGAGGAAGAAGCTCGTGAATTCTTGGTAGTTCTCATTCTGAAGTGAAGGGTCTGTAATGTGCATATTGAAGCAAAAGTCACACTTGTACAATATGTATAGAATTCCCTGGAGCATTTAACAAAAACACCTGACTGGTAAGGTAGGACTGGTTAGAAATGCTCGCAAGTTGGGTGACAGCTGATGACTAGGTTACAGTGCAGAGTAACCTTGGATTTCAGATGACAACATTGCAGTTGTGCCAGAAGATAAGCTGTAGATCACCTTACACGAGCATGACATTTATTTCACCCATTCTTGTAGAAAAAGGGAAGGATTAATTCATTAGGAGGAAAGAGGCACAAGAATACAGTGTGCCTCTTTGATTTGTTCCGTACCTAGTTGACATCAAGAAATACAGACCTAGAAACCCAATGACAATCTTATCTACATCTATGTCCAAAACCTAATTTGATGGAAATCTCAGAGCATGTGCTACTACAAGACTAACAATGAAGATCCTCTGCCCAGAAGAGTCTTTCAGAAAATGCTTCTCTCTACTCCAAATCGTCTCAGAGCAGAAGCCCCTGAAAGAAAAAAGAGCCTTGCTGCAGAAACACATAGCTTTCCCAGTGAAGATTGCTCAAGACTTAGTGCTGGAAGCCTGTTGTCCGAACTGAGCAAATGACTGGTTGAACAAGAATTTGTTTCCAGCAGCCTCTGCTCCACAGTGGCAACATCTGGCCAGAGGAAGACAGGAAGCCAAGAGGAGACTTGCCTTTGTATGTGTGCCAGCCTCAGTCAATCCTTCTGCACA